TCCTGGGCCCAGGTGATTCTCTTGCCTGAGCCTCCGACTAATGTTCTTTTTTGGGCAGTTATTTTTGCTGGGGCCGGGTTTGAACCCGCCACCTCTGGTATATGGGACTGGTGCCCTACTCCTTTGAGTCACAGGCACCACTGTCTAATGTTCTTTTTGTTTTTTTTTTTTGAGACAAAGTCTCACTTGGTCACCCTTGATAGAGTGTCGTGGCACCTTAACTCACAGCAAATTCAAACTCTTGGGTTCAAGTGATTCCCTTGCCTTAGTCTCCCCAGTAGCTGGAACTACAGGCATCTGCCACAGCGCCCAGCTATTTTTTAGAGATGGCGGTCTCACTCTTGCTCAGGTGTTTCAAACTCATGAGCTCAGGCAATCCACCTGCCTCAGCCTCCCAAGTGCTGGGATTACAGGCATGAGCCGCTGTGCCTGGCTTCAATGTAAATATTCTTCAAAAGGAAAATGGTTAAATAAATTACAGAGTATTCAAACATTGGAACAGTATAAACAGATAAAGTGAATGAAATAGAACTACATTTGTTAATGTGGATAAAAATCATAGGTAATGTAGAGAAAAAAAGTAGGACACAAAATATATATGTAGTTTTGAGTGTTTGGGTGTTTTTTTGTTTGTTGGTTTGGTTTGGTTTGGTTTGAGACAAAGCCTCAAGCTATAGCCCTGGATAGAGTGCCCTGACGTCACAGCTCACAGAAACCTCAAACTCCTGGACTTAAGAGATTCTTTTGACTCAGCCTTCGAAGTAGCTGGGACTACAGGCACCCACCACAATGCTCAGCTATATTTTGTTGCAGGTGTCATTGTTGTTTAGCTGGTCCGGGCTGGGTTCAAACCTGCCAGCCTTGGTGTATGTGGCTGGAGCTGTAACCACTGTGCTACAGGCACCAAGCCAAGATTTTTTTATTTTTAGTAGACACAGGGTCTTGCTGTAGCTCAGGCTATTCCCAGACACCTAAGCTTGGGCAATCCTCTTGCCTCGGCCTCCCAGAGTGCTAGGATTACAGGTGTGAGCCACCTTGCTTAGTTTATATATGTAGTTTTATTTCACATTTCTCACAAAGAAAAATCATCCCATCTAATTTCCAGAGACTTCCATATGAGACACTATGTAAAATGATTTTTAAATACATTAGTTCATTTCAAATTCTCTTAACGACTATGTGAAGTGGTTGATATTATCCCTATTTTACATTTATTCATTCAAAAAAGTGACATAATATGGTGTCAGACACTGTTCCCAAGAGTTTGAAGTTACTGTGAGCTAAGATGAATATACAGCAATGAATTAAACTTTCTTTTCCACCCAGCCAGGGTGGCTCACATCTGTAATCCCAGCACTCTGGGAGGCTGAGGTGGGTAGATTGTTTGAGCTCAGAAGTTCAAGACCAGCCTAAACAAGAGCAAGACTCTGTTTCTACTAAAAATAGAAAAACTAGCTAGGCATTGTGGCAGGGGCCTGTAGTCTCAGTTACTTGGGAGGCTGAAGCAGGAGGATCTCTTGAACCCAAGAGTTTGAGAGTACTGTGTTTTTTGTTTGTTTGTTTGTTTGTTTCCTTGAGGCAGAGCCTCAAGCTTTCCCCTTGTGGCAGGAGCCTGTAGTCCCAGCTTCTTGGGAGGCTGAGGCAAAAGAATCTCTTAAGCCCAGGAGTTGGAGGTTGCTGTAAGCTGTGACGCCACAGTACTCTACTGAGGGTGACATAGTGAGACTCTGTCTCAAAACAAAAAGAGTTTGAAGTTACTGTGAACTATGATGATGCCACTGCACTCTACCCAGGGTGACAGTGTAAGATTCTATGTCAAAAACAAGAAAAGAAAATGAGAAAACAGTTAAGAAATCTAAGTATACAACACCATTTTAATTTTGCCTTAGCTTAGGCTTGCTAGCAGCTCGGGTTGCACTGAAAACGATTTTGAGTGCTACTCATTGGAAGTGGGTTGTGGATTGTCTGTGCTAAGAAACTAAGAAGGGAGGGGAGGCACCTGTGGCTCAAAGGTGTACGGAGCCGCCCTGTGTGCCGGAGGTGACGGGTTCAAGCCTAGCCTCAGCCAAAAACTGCAAAAAAAAAAAAGAAAGAAACTATGAAGGGAGAATGTTAATGTATTTAAGAATGGGAATTTGAGGCTTGGTATCTGTGGCTCAAGTGGCTAAGGCGCCAGCCACATACACCTAAGGTGG